TATCTGTCTCTTATACACATCTAGATGTGTATAAGAGACAGATCTTAGACATTTGTCTTACTAATGTTCCAGAATTGTTTTGTAAACCAAAGTTATTGTCTTCTATATGTCGTAGCGACCACGCTTTAATTGTTGTTAACCCCAAAATTAGGAAACCTACGGAAGCACCTAAGTGTCATTCGACTTGACGACTTGTCAAGATAATTATGTTGTCAAGACGATTATATATATATATATAAATCGTTGAGAGCTATATATGTATGTATATATATACATATATGTATACATTTATGTACATAATTTGCATGTATGTACGTAAGTATGTAAGCATATGTGTGTGTATGCATGTGTGTGTGTGTGTGTAAAAGAACTAATACTTTAGGACATGATTAATAAGATATTAAACTGTTGGTCTATAATGAAAAGCAATTTGGATTTTTACTCAATTTTCTGAGCTCCCAAATTTTATAGCTCATTTACTCAATACTGACCTAGGCGACAACTCAACCATTCGCCACGACATGCCTAATCATCAGTTAAAATTAACAAAGAAAAATGAAGTTTCCTATATCACGTGGTGTGGTGACATAACCTGTATTACTCTATAATACTGGATTTGCGATTGCATTTTATATTCATATAAAATAATGATATAAGAAATGTTACCATGAGTGATCAACACATTTATTTATTTTGCTGTGGTTCTCATGGTATCGGCTTATTTTGGCCTTAATGAGAGTCTCGCGACCATCAATTTTTTCTGATTTAATTTATGTCAGGATTTTTTTTTTTTTTTTTTTTTTTTTTTTTTTTTATTAATATATTTTTTTTTTTGGTCCAATAAATACGTTCTAAGTTCTATTCCTTTTAACTTCGATATGCGAACAATTGATTTTTAGCATTTTATCATTATCGGGCAAATATAAACTTAATTAGGGCCTCGCGACTATCAATTTCTTTATGATTTAATTTATATGTCAGGAATTTTTTTTTCTTTTTTTTTTTTTTTTTTTGGTCCAATAAATACGTTTTAAGTTCTGAGTTCTATTTCTTTTATTTTCGATATACGAACAATTGCTTTTTAGAATTTTATCGTTATCGTGCAAGTATAAACAGGCCTTTGAGAAAATTTCTTTAAATTTGTATTTTTAGGCAATTTTTTGAGCTCCCATTATTATTACACAATTTCTTTATTCGTTTATTTACAGGACTACATTCGTTGAGAGCCTTGGTACACGATGTATTATTATGTCCTTTATTCGAACACTATATTTACCTTTCTTTAATGATTTATATATATATATATATATATTGCATAGCACACTCATTATTGGGTTTGTGCACTCTTGTATTCATAATCAGTGTACCACGTCACACAAGACTAACCCAAGCTATGTTTGAGTCAGTGGTGTGTTTCATTCTTAAAAATCCTGAGCTGCACTGATGAGATCTAACAAGATCGAAACGGTACTGTCTGCAGATTGGAATATTTACGCTCCTTACATTGTACTATTAAGGTAGTACATTGTTTTGTAGAGCACTCTTATTTTAAGATGGTGCATTGTTTATGTTTACTATTTTGCAATTTGCACAGCACACTCATTATTGGGTTTGTGCACTCTTGTATTCATAATCAGTGTACCACGTCACACAAGACTGACCCAAGCTATGTTTGAGTCAGTGGTGTGTTTCATTCTTAAAAATCCTGAGCTGCACTGATGAGATCTAACAAGATCGAAACGGTACTGTCTGCAGATTGGAATATATATATATGTATATATATATATATATAATATACTGTATATATAGGCCTATATATGTATATTCAAGTAATAATATAATTGTTGTAATTATACTTTCGACCATAAGTCATCATTAGGTATATATACATATATAATAGGCCTATATACTTTTGTTACAAAAAGCAACTCTATACGACCAGTGGTTGCCAAGATATTACAATCACGCAAAGTTGAGATCGAAGGTCAAAAACGCAATTTCCGGTCATTTCTAGAGAAAAATTGTCCATTATAGTAAGTATAAATATGCATGTTTTAAACATTTTGCTGCAAAAAGCAACTCTGTACGACCAGTGGTTTTCAAGATATAGCTCCCTATATTTCCACCCCTAATTTGCATATTTATGCTAATAAGGTCGGCAAAATGGCACTTCCGGTCATTTTTGAAGAAAATGTTCCATTATGGTAAATAGAAACATGCATGTTCTGAACAACTTTAAGAAAGAAGCAACTTTCTACGACATGTGGTTACCAAGTATATAAGTACCCTACATTTTCAGACATAATTTGCATATTTCAGCTAATTTCCATATGAAGATGAGGGCAAAAAAATTGGCGACTCATTTTATTCGATTTAGCATACTTCAAAGTATATAATTAAAAAAAATGATCACAAAATTCCAACGGGATGACATAAGCCACCGGACTAATTCACGGAAAAAAGAACACGTATGCAACTACTGTACTCGTTTTTTTTTTTCTGTATAGACCTATATTGGTACACACATGATAGGCCTATTTACTGTAATAAGAATGAGAAAAAATTACCTGACCGTTTTCAAGTTTCAAGAGGGCATAAAACATTGAATTTTGAAGAACTTTAAAGTCATTAAAAGACACTATTCAGAAGTTGACAAAGCTCATTTCCCGCCATCTAGCAATTAAAATTTTCACAGGGGAGGACCCATCCCCTTTCTTTTTTTTTTTTTTTTTGATACTGACCTCCCTCCCTCCTCCCCAGTAAATTTCAACCCAAATCCGCCCCTGATCTTATTATATTTAAAGTAAACAGCCAGAGAGAAATGCCTCCCCTTGGTTATAGCCCTTCGTCAGAGCAAAATATAAAATATATAGCCATATAAAATACATATATGATAAAATGGTGGTGGTTTAGTGGTTATGGCGTTTACCTTGACAGGTTTGATTCACGTTGGAGGTAATTTATCTTATAATTCATTTATAGAATGATATTCATTGAGAACTATACTGTGCGATAACAAACAACAAACAGGCATAAAACTGAATTTAGTCTAAACAACGTCACGTTATTTTACGACAAAATGTAGTACTGTTGATAATAATTTAAAGCCGTAATATTTTAAGGCTGGTAACCTCGAGTATACGTTCCACTTTGATATAAAATTTTATACTATATTCTACATTAGCAGGCGATAGTAGTTACATTAGCTGTGAGGCAACTTTCGTTACCTCATTAGCTGTTGAGCGTTCTACATTAGCTAAGGGTTGATTTTCTTTTTACTACATAAGCTGTTGGTGTTTCTACATTAGCGGGAAGTTTTACTACATAAGCTGTGGAGTGTGCTACAATAACGGTTGTTACTACATTAGCTGTTGTTTTCTACATTAGCGGTTGTAACAGCATTCAAATGCTAAGAGTATTATTGAGAGGCCCCAGAAACGCATGTTCTTTTCGCGCACATTAAAATCTGTTGGTATGCGTCCTAAAATATTGTCTTGCTTTTATAATGCATCATTGAGAGCATCTTATGTACTTTAATTGTCGTATGGTTTGGCAGCGCAACGGAAAATGATAGGACGGACCTAAACCGAATTTTTAAGTCAGCTTCGCGCATTTACTGGTCTCATCAAACTCCTTTGGAGTAATCTATGACGACAGGCTAGTCAAAACAGCAAAGTCTCTCTGCGGTGATATTTCCCGTCCTGCAAATTGTCTCTTTAAAACAATGAGAAACCATCGCCGTTACAGGAGTTTGAGTGCCAACAAAACTAGATATAGAAATAGGTTCTACCCATCTACAATTAGGGCACTGAAAAATACTGTATTGTAAAGAGTGGGGTATGCAGGCTGCGGCTCTATATGAACGACCCTACCCCGGGAAGTATAGTTCATTGATTTTTGTTGTACTTTTAATTATTTTGTTAATTTGGTTGGTGATGCTGTACCATGAGAAAAAATGTCTATTTCTATAATATATATCTGAACCTGTATATTTTTTCACTGTGAAACTATTCAAACGGCTATTGCCGAAAAACTTACAAAATAGAAGTATTTGGTAGTTAATCTGGATCAAGCACCACTTTTTTGACATTATATTCTTCTTGACCATCAATATAAATACGATTCTACATTTTTTCGGTGACAATAATTCCATCACTGATTACTTGACCTTTATCTTTTTTCACAAAACTGTGTCAGACAATACCAACTAGTATATTATTCTTAATAAATGATGCAAATGACTCGAATGGCTTTCAGACAAAATTTCTGACAGGAATATGTAGTCCTTTTGATGTGGATTATTTAGTAATATAATCAGACAGTATCCATATATGGTATACTGGTCAACGTCACAATCATCATTGTCAAATTTTGCTGATGATAAGAACCACTCTACCACTAACTCTACCCAACAACATGCACTAAAAAACTCTGATGGTAAAGTTTATGGTATCAGATTCCAGAACAAGATATAAAAACATTAAAATATCATTATCAGAATTATAAAGGAATACATAACAAACTTTTAAAAAACGGAGAGGAATTATGAGGAAAAAGAAAACATGAAAACTAACTTGACTCAGTGAGACTCAAATAGCGAGGGTGATATAGACAGTTCTAATAATCGCACCATTGAACTCGATCATCAGAAGGTTTGTAGATTATCTACCCTGCGTAAATTTGATATGTATCCAACCGTGGTTTTGCATTTAACTCTAGCTTTTTTAAACGCTTTAGAAAACGAAAATCGCGTTAAATTGCCAGGTAATTATTAATATATATGTACAAAGACATCATTTTTATTATGCATAGATGAAAGACTGTGTGGTCTTTCCTTGAATAAAGTTTTAAGGAGATCCAAGCACGGAAAGTGACCAATGTTCCAGACAGAAAATCCCTGTGCAAAGAGATAGAAGAAAAACGGTGCGGAAAATGCCAAAAATCAGAACAAAAAATGGCTTTTCCGATAGTATATAAAAGTTTAAAAAAATGTGTTGTACCTGGGCATGGTATGACGTAACAACTGCAATGTCCTTTTCACCAAATTTCTCTGGCCAGTGGTCGTGCAAGTACTTTACACGTTCAACAAGTTCAGTGCTTTCATCCTTGTTGACATACGAAGAACCTCGCTTCGTATCCAAACCTTTCACCTCCACTAACGATATTGCTGGTCCAAAGTCCGAACTAAATTCTTCATTTGTAGCATATTCAATTCCTTTCTCGTAGATACATTTTGATAGAAATTTTAGAATCGGCCGACATGTTCGGTAGTTGCGTCGAAGTAGGACACTATTGGCCATACGCATTTTTTTCAGACGTTCTAGTAGCGATATGTGAAACCCGACAGCTTTGCTTGAATTAGAGTATATCTAAAACAAATTTAGATTGAAATATTATCAAATAATAGTCTAGATTGTATAAAAGAAAAAATATCATTACCTACAAAATATGTGTTTTCAGTGTTAATCACTTAGAAATATGTTTTCTAATGGTATCGATTACAGTTTAGTTTTCTCTTTCGGATAATTAAAAAAAAATAATGTAAATACCTTAGGGCTCATCTGTAAATGGTCGCCTGCTAACACTACGCACGTTTTTTCGTCAGCTAACGTTATCGGCATTATCGTCTGCGGCTCAAGAGCCTGACCAGCTTCATCAATAAGAATATGTGTAAACAAACCATTAACGTTCAAAGGAATCAAATAAATGGCTGTTGCCAAGGTGCAAATGACAACTTTAGCCATTTCAATATCGTCTCGCTCGGGAACACGAAGTTTAGTTTCATTTTCAAACAAGCAATGCTTTTTAACGCGTTGTGGTATTGTGGAAACGCGTCGATTTGGCTGATAAACTCGTAGAATCTTGTAAGCATCTCTTCCCTTACTAAATCTATCAGACTCCTCTTGTAGACCATTAATAATATACAGATCAGCCGCACTGTAAAATGTTTTAATTGAAATAATAAATGTGTTTGCTTTGCGTATTGATAAGAATATATAAAACTGAATTGAATAGGCTTTACTTATAAATATATTAATAACCCTATAATTATTCATTATTCACCTTACCTATTTGATAACGTGGATATTAGTACACGGGAGTCGTCTGATCGTCCAAGTATTCTTTTCACTGATGTTGCTAAGACTCTGGTCTTACCAGTACCAAAGGGTCCACATATTATCAAAAATGCCTGTTCATGTTGTATTTCTTTCGAACAGATAAAACTAGCAGCAGTCTCTTGGTACTTGTCTAATTCATTTGAACAATTCATCGCAGTCGTTAGCTGTTCTGATTTTTTTGGCCAAACACAATGCATTTTCTTTAGATTTTTAATGGCGAAATGCATTTCTACAAATGGTATCCGATCAATGAGAAACATTATTTCTGCTTCGTGTTCACTACCATCATTTAGGTTCATCTCGGACACACATTTGTCGTTGAATAATACATAAACAATCTCTCCTGCACGATCATCACCATTGTCGTCCTTGTATATTTTAGCTTCAAAAGCCATGGTCTGATTCGAGATAAATCTACAGGCCACAGAATTAACGGACTCTAGAATTAGGACTCCAGCCAAGGAATCAAAATCCAATGCCTTTGTGA